CAAATTGCATTTATTTTTGCAAAATAAACTTTACAGTAGGCAGAAATAACAGGCTGTACTTTAAAAAAACAGTAAGAGCAGTGGATAATGTAATCTAATGGTACTACCTGTTTGAAGTCACAAAAAATCCGCAGCAAAAGATACTGCTGCATTTACTACTTATTAATATATCCACAATGAGGAATATGCCAAACAGTGCAAACTGTGAAAAGAAAAAGCTGTGTATTTTTGCCATGGCCAAAATACAGATACAACACAAAAAAGGTCCAAGACCATGTCATAACAGCTGTTTATGTACAAGACAAGCAGACAAAGTTCAGTTGGCAAGTTTAAATTTATAATGCTCTGACTGGTGAATTTTGCAAGTGATTGTGCCCTCTGAAAACATAAAAACCCGTAAGAACGAGAATTCATAAATCTGATTCCAAAACCCCAGAAATATCAAAGTTGCACCAGCCCTTCATCCACCATTATCAGGAAGGAGCTTCTAAAAGGCTCTTCAATGAAAGCATTAACTCCTCTGAACTACAGAAAACAATTTTCAAGAATATTGTATTTGGCAAAACCTGCTGCTAGAGGGACATGATTTGCCAGTAGTATTCATGGATATCTGCTGAAAGCAAAGAACAATGGTCCAAACCAAGCATGAGGTTCATGTAATTAAAAACACTGAGGTTCTAGTTTTTCACAAAAAAAAAAAAAAAAAAAAAAAAGCTGGAATAAACATTTTCAACATAGAAAATGCTACATTTTTTTCCTCTATGCTAAGTCTCAGGAAGAGTGGAATAGTTTTTCTTCTAGAAAATTTTCTCTTAAAGGAAAAAGAAAAAAAAGAAAAAACACAGAAATAGCTTGAGGCAGTATGGAAAATGTAAGTCTCAATGGTTTACATACAGACAAGACTTGGAGCAACTGAAGATTGGGGTTTAAGTGAAACCATCAGGCAGTCTTATCTATAGGTGCTGCTACCTGCTGGGCCTCTAATTAAACTTTTAGCGATGCTTACCATTGCTAAACAGGGAGCAAAAAAAAGCAAGGAAAAAGCTTTTCTGGGACTATAATACTGTTTCATGGAATATTTCAATGTACAACAATGTCTAGCCACCACCACCGAATCCTTACAGAAAAAAAAAACCTCCAAGCACCTTTGAAGGCTGTGACAAGCGCAGTGACCACTGAAAAAGTGAACTTTGAGTCTGCCATGGTGTGGGGGTGGCACAGGGCACAGTCTAGCCCATGGTGTCCATGAGGACTTGCACCTGGTTCCCTTCCCCTGTGTGCCCATCAGCCCTAATGCATTTCTCTGGTTTATGTGTATGAAACAATGAGAGGAGAAGGTTGTAGGGGGCAACCTGCACAGCCGGGCTGGTGCTGTGGGGGCTGCAAGAAACCCCACTGCTCTGGAGATCACCCTTGAATGCATCCTCCCCATTGGTGCATAGGGGGATGAAGGTGCCTGGTCAACAGTGGGGTCTGTTCATAGCTGAATGTTGTGGTGTTAGCAACTTACAGGAATTTACTAAGATTTGTAAATGGCAAGTGATGTATTACCGACACCAAAAACAATGTTCTCTAATTACCTTCTAAATGAGCATTGTTAATAACTTCCTAAAAATGCACCAATCCTGGTTTTGATTTAGATTCGGTTCTTAATCCTGCAAAAGCACATCACTCTGACATAAGGGTGCTTTTCCAGCATGACAGCCCTGTCTCCCATTGCCCACCTTGGGGTGCAGCATGTGGCACAGGATCCAACGGGATGCTGCCAGCACCTTGTATATACAAGGGCTACGTGTCTTCAAAACAAAAAGAAACCTTGCAACCAAAAAAATAAAAAAAGGGAGAGAGGAGGCAGGATAGACAGCAGAAATAAACAGCAAACTGAGAGGCAGTAAAGGAGATCTGAGACTCTTCTGAAGGATGGTGAGACAAAGAATGGCATGATGAATGGCACCGCGGAGAAGGATGCACAGAGGCGGAGGAGGAGATGACAGTATAGGTTAGAAATATTAACAGAAAAGGAGAGGGAGACGAAGCAGAGCTGCTGAAAGTGGCACTCAAAGAGCAGTCAGCAAGATGGGAAGGACTAGGAAAAATAGATAAATAGAAGAAGACAGGGAAACAGAAGACAAAGTAGCCACTTCTTGTGCCAGAGGGAAGAGAATATTCAAACAGAACATGAAGAAAACGCTATTTGCTTGAACTGCCTAAAAAAGCAGCCACCAGGAGAGTTTTGTCTGAGAGTGAAAGAAGGTCTGGGACGCATCAGGAAAAGCAGAAAGCCACCTGTGCAAAACACCTGGAGACAGTATTAGAGGGATGATGACAGCCTGAGAAGGTTTTGCAAAAAAACCTAAAAATTAAATGGTTCTAGTCAAACTTCAAGGGAAGAGGACAATTCAGCATGAGAAAAATAAAATTTGGAATAACAAGGAAAAAGCTTTTCTCTATGCCCTGGTTTCTTGTATTTGCTCCCCTCAGCACCTGAAATCTAGAAATACAGGAGATGCCTGAGAGCTCAGGTCTGATGTAATTTTCATATTAAAAATATCTCTTTTCAGGAAAGTGCCTTAGTTCCAATTGTGTGAAAAGGGCTTAGATAAAGGGTCATGAAAAACATAACTTTAAGTGCTTCCCAACTGGCACTCCTGGATCATCAACATCGTCTCCGAATTAGCACCAATGCAGGAATAACACAGGGATTATCCTGCTGATGGTCTCTGTGGATCATCTGTTTCACTGTGCACATTTTTATGTTTCTGAAAATTAGCAGCATTCATGTAGAAGTTGAAAGCTGTGAGTCTAGATGACTCCAAACCTGCATTTGTCCATCAGCTAGTAGAGGATTAGGAACTAATTCAATTTGGCAACAATGTCCTTTTAGGATCTGTGTACACTTATTTTTTGTTATCAGCACAAGAGCTGATTATTGAAGGGAATTTAGTCTGCACACATATTAAAATAATTTAATTGGTTAATTTGTGCAATATAACTGCATTGAATTATTTATATTGTTTTGCACTAAAGAATGAAAAACACTCCAGCAAAAGCTGATAAAAGATTACTACCTAGAGTGGATTGCTGCCCAATTTACTTCTATTGTATTTATTTAAATTAACCTGAACTTCTTAATCAAAACCATTAAGGACCACAAAATGAGTACAAATCATGAGAAAAAATTAATAAACTGAAGAACTGTTGATACTTTATTGTGCTTTAACTGTGCATTAATAGATGATGCAGGGGCTAATGGCTAATGACCTCTACCAATTAGAGCACAAAGGCCATATTGTCAGGGCAGGTCTGAAGGCATGGAGTTCACAGGCTGAAATCCCTACAGCACATTAAATTCTGGAATTTTGTTGATGAAACTGGGGTAGTGAATTTCTAGTTTTACAAGATCAGGAGATGCTTCCTACAGAGGAGACTACTACCACAGCCAACCAGCACCTTCGAAAAGAAAACAAAGAGGAAAATTTCTCAATGAGTTCATGGTTAGGTGCACCTTGAAGGGCCAAAATCAAAATAAAAACTAAAACTTTCCTTTTTCTGTTTGTTTGGGGTTTTTTTCCTAGACTACACGGTATGAAGTCCTGGTTTTATTCATAATTTACTGACAGAAAGGCACAAAGGGCTAAAATTACACCACTGTATGAAGTGCAATAAAACTTAAACCATAATTTTGAGGCTTAAAACTAGACTCAGATCAACAATGAGTTCATTTCCCATGTCCAAGCCTACTGAGAGAGCAGAGTCCCCCTTTGGGTAGTGAGGGAACAGTAGGAGAGTCACAGACTAATACCCAACAGGATGCCCCTAAACATCTGAATGACCCATCACTGTAGGCCTGTACAATAACACACAGTTGCCAGTTCATGAAAAACAGACATGAGAGGTAAGAAACAAGTTGAGACCTGTTCACTCTGCAATTAGGAACACAAGAGATGTTATAAGACTAAATGTCCTGCAGTCTCATAAGCCCCAAAGTAAGGTTATCTGTCAATACCCTCCCTTTCTGCCTCAAGCAATACCTCATTTCGGGGGAAAATTACCGTACTTTATTCACTCACGTGCAATGAGCCTTGAAATGAGTATCTCATTCCTTTCCTCATATTCCCATCTCTGTCGCTAATGCCTCCTTTATAAAGCTGTGCTTTCAAAGTTTCTGGGCACATCTGTTTTTTCTTTCCTTACTCCACCCATCCTCTCACTATCTGTAACTGGTTTTTGCTCCCTCAGTAACTGCTGGGTTCTCACTCTTTTTTGCTTTCCAGCTCCCCTTTCTGTGTTCTTTGGACACCTCAAGAGTGTATCTGTCCTTCTGACATGCGCCTCTTCCTCCCCTCACACCTCCCTGTGCCTCTCAGGTCCTGTGTCTGTAAAACTCATTTCCAACATAAACACTCTGGGTGGCTTCCTTCCCTTCTGCTGTTTAATCTGGAAGAAGAAACCTAATTCAAAGTATTGCACTGCCACTCCTTAAGCTTAGTAAAACCTACTTCTCTGCATCTGCTAATGCTCTTTGGTCCACAAGCCTTTCCTTCACACATTCCTAGAGCCTGATGATTGCTTCCTACTTGCTGGGGAACAATCCCTCTGCCATTCCTCCCCTTGCTAAATCTGAAACACCTGGTGAGTTTTCCATGTTTATCTATGATGTTTTATATATTGTCATAAATATCATACACTGACATTTTTTCCATTCTCCTACTTCTTCAGCTTCTGGGGAGGACTTATTTCTCTCAGGACAGAACCTGCCACAGGTTGTCTGAGCATCTAACACCACTGCTGAACCCAATCTTAATTTAAAAACTTATTTACCTTAAAGATCATCTGGGATAAGACTTTTAAAGGTTCCTGCAAGTTGTGTAAGTTGTATGTTTTTTCAGCAACAACACACTAAGTATGGAAACTAACAACTTTATAACTGTCATTATGTTTTTCTCATATAAGACCAGTTTCAGAGATGCCACAGATGCACAAAACTGGCTCCACCTTACCTTTGACATGGCTTCTCCCATCCTCCAACAGTGGTACTACTATAGTGTTGTTCATATTCCCAGGTGATCTCACAGCTGTATAGACAACAGGTACCGACTGTACCACCACGGGGATACGGTGCACGTGACTCATTTTGTTGGACTGCAAGTTCATGGGACTTGAAGGTGGTACTGGATGGATAATGTGCAAAAACTGCTGGCCTCCAACACCAGATGCAGAGGCCACAAGAGGACCTGGAGTTAATACTGACGGTACAGACGCTGCTGAGGAGACTGATGTTATTACTGTGGGGGATGAAGCTGGCCGACTGGAAGAAGAAGAAGTAGAAGTAGAGGAAGGGGAGGAGGCTGATGCTGTCATGGAAACTGGTGAAGATGAAGCTGCTGTAGGGGACGACCTGGCTTTGTTTATTGACAAGTCCACTGGTTCAGTCTGTGTTTGGAAATGGTCTGTAGATAATGAATCCTCCGTGGGGTCGGCCTTCATGTTGTTTAGTAACAAGGGTACAGCATCCATATCGGGGTAGTTGTGGACGTTTGGAGACTGTTGAGGAAGAACAAAGGGACACAGTTATATGTGTGCATAAAGATGACTTGCACACACAATTGCTAACGCACACCACACAACTTGATCATGAAAGCCACAGAACTTAGTCCCTTTTTTTGGATCAGCTCATAATTTTAAAGTACAAATCATGTTAGAAAGCACAGACATGTTCTGTTTGAACAGAATTTAAAAAAAAATTCTATTCCCATTTTTTAGAAAGTGTCAGGATTAACAGTACAAAATCATCCTGCTTCTTTGTACTATGCAAAGTCACCAATGACAGAAATTTTAGTATCTTCAGCAGTAAAAACTATTTATATTGACAGAACATTTTTTCCCCAACATCTAATTTTAAACCACAGCATTACTCTCTTGTGTCATCATCACTCAGACACGAAGAAAAAATGGTTATCACCATTTCTCAAACAACTTTCTGCACGCTCCAAGACTGTAATTTCCCCCTACTTGTCTACCTTCTTCTAGACTAGCCAGACCTGGTTGCTTCTTTCTGTGATGTCTGTTTCAAAACGACTAGCCTTAGTACCCACTGGTTTTTTAGAGTGATCTTTGAAATTGTGTCCACAACAGATTTCAGAAGGTGCCTTACTCTACCCTCAGTCCTTCAGTTCTATGTTTGACTTCTGCATTCTGAATACTCACTGGTAATGAACTTACGGGTCAGTACAGAGCCACACATTTGTACGACTGCCCTGTCAGAGCGAGCAATGGTTACAGCAATTCATTATTCTGAACTAGCCCATTAGATAGCCTTCCCCATTGTTATTGTTATTATTTCCATACTAACTGAGAACAATTTTCCTGACTTCACAAAATAATTTTATGCTTTAGATTAATTCTTTCAAAGCTGGTTGGACTAAATTTATCCTAGAGTGGTGCTGTCTGCTATTTTTATAGTTTTCCCTTGTTTCTGTCATCAAAGAGGTTAATAGAATTTTTGAATAATGCTAGACCAAAGACAGATCCCTAGAGAAGTTCATTTGATATATCTTTCCATTTGACAGTCCATCATTAATAACCAGTCCTTAATGATGTTTTTTCAAGTAATTTTCACCAGGCAGAGCAAGGCTGGAAATGCCCATCGATAATCTGGTCTAAGACAAAGCACAGCTCTCAGCTCCTTAGCTAAGGAAGCCCACAGCACTGCACTGCAGCAGAGCTTCTCTACAGACAGGCAGTCATAGTGTAGCACCAAACCCCAACCTCAACACAAAACACTGCTCCTTCAAACCTCACTTGACCCAAAACAGTTATTCCCTGTACAGACCTAAGCAGCTCTAAATGCATTGACTTGATCTCTAGATTACAGTATTTACAAAGTATCTACAAATATTAAGTCAAAAATATTTAAGCTGGAAATATTTTATTGCATCTACTGTCAATAAACTAAGAATCAATCAAGCTATGAATTCCCTTTGGGATTTTGATAATCAACTACTATAAATATTTCCAAGGAAAAACCTCCTTGTTTTGAGTCAGAGTCAAGCTTCAACAGAGAATGAAATTCTATTGAAAAAGAAAAATATAAACACTTATATTGAACACTGCAGTAATAAGGACCTAACTGGATATTATTCCTGGCATGCTGAAAGATGAAATGTTCTAGTAGATCTCACCTATTCAGCTGATTTGGATTGGTTCTTGGATCTGACATTTCCCCCTATCTGAAAGCAAGAATATCTGTGGAATGATCTCTTCCTCTATTTATACACCAATCAATTTAAAATAAAGAGACCACCATCTAAATAATGGAGTCACCTGAACCCTGGATCCTGCTATTCAAAGCAAAATAACCCTTTTCATAAAGACAATGGGAAATTATGCTAAAAAGAACACAAAGTGACAAACAGGTTACTTTTCAAAGCACATAACCAGCCATGAGTGACAAGGCTATGTAAAGCTCTTCCTCAAGAAGGCAAACCTGCCTGTAATTGCCAGGCGATGATTCCTGGTAACTTCCTCTGAAACACCTTATCCTGGCTGATGTCCATAATGTGACCCCCCCACCATGCCATCATAAAAACAAAACCATAAACATACATGGAACAGGAAGTTTATTTGTCAAATCTTGACAAGTCTCATCTACATGCACTTGGGCAGACAGACTGGTCCTGCTGAATTGAACAGACAGGCACCAGAGCAAAGGCAAAGTGGAGAGGGACACCTGAACCCTCATAAGGCCAAAGGCAGCATCTCCTATCTTAAATGTTTGAGAGGAGAGGGATAAATGGCATCAGCTTTTGCAGGAGAGATGAGGGATCCCCTCATGCACATGGCCACATCTAGAAGAAGCATGAATCACCAGCTCTATCCACAGTGTAGATAAATCCACTACGCTAGAAATCCTATGTTTCTTCACTCCAGGTTTTCCCTGGGTGCCAGAGGCAGATATCAGGTTGATCCACTGCCACAAGGGACTGAACACAAGGGATCTCAAAAGCTACTGCCAAACAGGATGGTGCATCTGCCCCAAAGTCCTACCTGGCTTTGCAGCAAGCAGCACTAGGTCCCTCACAAGAGGAGTAAAGAACCTCAAAATCTCCTGTAGATGACACCACACATAGTATTTGTTTCATGGATAGAGTTAATGGTCTTTGACACAAAGCACAGGTCACGACTTACAGATTTTTCTAAGTTGTGCTAAGAACAGACCTTTGTTTCACTATAGCAATTACACCTACTCCTTTGGAAATTCAGAAAAAAAGTAACCTGTAACTTCAGACTACCATACAAATCACTCTCTTTTAACAACTCTTCTACATTTACTTTTGCTTGTACATTCCTTACATTCCAGAGCTGCTGGAGGGGCCACACAGTCTCTGTGTACTATGGTAATGCAGTTGATATTATTATTTCAGTGTTCAGCAGTGAAACAAATCTCAAAACCTTTACAATCCCTTCATGAATTTCTCCAAATAGGATGCCAACTGGCATGCCCTTCCATAGCTGCCTTTCCCTGACAAAACTCTAAGACTAAGGATGCCCTTTCTTTGGTAAATTCAGGATGTGACTGATGTCAGCTGACATTACAAAAATCAGCAAGATCCTTATCAAAACAGGTTTGTATGTCTCATATTTAAGACAAAAATTGTAAGCAAGTGCTATATTTTCTTTTGCTAGTGGTAAACGAAGAGATCTACCCCAAAAACTCACACTCCCTACAAGTGGTATATGCTCCTCCATGACCTCAGATTTTATCTAAATTGCCAAAACTCTATTTAATCAGTATGTGAACCAAAACTTGGAACATTAAATTTATCATTATTTTCTGAAAATGAATGGTATAAGTAAACTTCTCCCAATGATGACAGCTATTCCAGAATACGGGAAGAAGAGCAGCAAGGAAGCCAAAAGGAATGGCTGAATTCTCAGAACACTACTTCTTAGCATCTCCCACTAATGTTATTAACTGAGAAATACCTGTTCATTTTCCTGGACACTGAGTGTTGTTGTTAGTTTTATCTAATGGAACTACATATTTTCCAGCTGAGAAGATAATAAAACTGTGGCTGCGATATTCAGTGTACCTTCAGCCATTCTGTCAGCTCAACTGGAAGGGAAACAAATAGATTTCTTCTGTCTCTCTGTCCTTCCATTCTCATCTGGTGAACTGGACTTCTTGTGGTGGTGGTGTGGGCTCAGTGGATTGCTACTTTGGGCATCTGAAGCAGGCTTTTCCTGTCTGGCTCCCAAAAGCATCTGTGTTGGTTTTGCAAACTTCATTTTGGTTTTAGCAGACTAAACTCTGCTGCTGAGAGTTTGGCAGCTTTCAGAACATTTGGTGGCTTAGAAAGGGTTCATCCTAAGGTCCCTGTAATTCAGTGGGCTGCCCTGGACACCAGCCCAGACCATGGAAACACAACATGAGGGGTTACATCTCCACGTGGCCTCCTTCATCTCACTGCTCAGCCCACTGTACAATGGAGAGGGACAGCTTCAGCCCTGCCTCCAGCTGGGACTTGGAAGCAAATCTCAGCAACGCCATGTCTCTGCAACATTGCTGTTGTATCCTTATGCTGCTCACCATCCACTCCAATCCAGGCTGAGCCAGAACTGGAAAGCCGGTAAGGATGGCTCCCTGCTAGAAAAGGCTTTTTAATAAAGCTGCAGTCTCTATTAATCAATGCTCTTGGCTCATGCTTTTTGTGCCTGCCCTTTTAAAGCTGTACACCAGTATTCTCTGCAGTGCTCTGTTTCATTGGCTTGTCATTAATAAATACCACCAGGAACATAACACGTGATTTCCCTATTCACAAAGATTTTTTTTGGCTGAATAAAAAAGCATTCCTTACTCCTTCTTCCCAGACCATTAAGGAAAAACAACCAGTCTACCTCGCAAGCAGCCGCAATACCTGGAGCAAAACACGGTGACGCTGTGGCTGGTAATATCCTAGCTGTTGGGCAGCCATCCTTCCTGCACAGCTCTTCATCTTCCTTCCAGCCCCCTGAATTCCACCTCCTCTTAATTTGTGAGGAAATTTTGCAACAGCCCCTTTTAAATCTACTCTTATTCTACTCATGGCAACTCCTTTGTGTATCAGCACTGTGTCCGACCCTAAAGAAGGCATGAAGAGCTCACAGTTTCCTCATAGCTGAGGTTAAAACCAGAGAAAAAGCAAAAATCATTCTGTTGTCAGCAGCTCATCCTGACACCTTGCAGTTCACCAGCTTCACAGGGTACTAAGCCACAGTGAGTCTTTAAGCCCTTGTGGACTTCTAGCGAGCCCACACAACTGAGCCACACAACAGAGTTTACAAACCTTCAACAATCAGCTGTCAGCTTTTGAAGTGTCTTCCTTTCTGGCAGCAATCTCCCAAGGTCAAACATTTTGTAAGAAAGCATACCAAAAAAGCTGTCCTTGATGACGGAAACAGAACAGACTAAATTTAGCGTTTATAAAATAAGCTAGCTTTGAGGACAGGAAGTTAAAAAATAAATTGCTAAGCGTTTAACTCTTCAGTCAAATCACACAAAATCC